ACACACACACACACACACACACACACACACACACACATACACACACACACACACACGGAGACTAATTTCATCAAGACACACACACACACACACACACACACACACAGACTATTTTCATCCAGACGTAGGAAAAGAACAACTATAAATAATGAAAAATAACGTTAAAAGCTTAATATTATGAAGGATATGCCTGTTCGGAATGAGTCTACCTTTTGCTTTGTTAAATAATTTGAAAAAAATACTATTTCTATTTTTCATTTTTAGTTTTGTCATTAATTTGTTGGGGCTTTTTTTATAAGCTCATTTTAAGCAGAGTAAGCCCGATTCCCTGTAAGGACTTCTCTGTTGACATCCACCCCTTGGCGCTCATATGACCTTATGCAGTTGCGAGCGCCATAAAACCTTTACTAAATTACTTTACTTTACTTTTTTCTTCCGCTTGTACCGGTGGGTGTCGCGGGGAGACACATGCATCTGTCTGTATGTAGCAAGGCGAATGGCACCTCTACTAAATCATCATCATCCAGTGCTTTGCCGACTGGCGTGGGCGATCATGGACCTCCACTTCACTCTGTCTTGCGTTGCAGCAATGGTGTCTGTTGTTCTTGCTGCTCCTAGCCATGTTTTCATCTTGTCCAGTATCTTTTCCCTTTGTCTGCCTCTGCCTCTCTTTCCATCAAACTTGCCTGTTGTTACAATATTCTCCAATGCTTCTTTCCGCATTGTTTGTCCGAAGAAATTTGCCTGTCGCTTTCTTTTAGTTTTATTCGTCATAAGCTGTCTTCTATAATTTGCTTCAACTAAGACTTCTTCATTTATTTTTCTAGATGTCCATGGGATACGCAGCATGCGTCTTATGAACCACAACTCTGTCGCCACAATTGTTCTTTCCAGCTGTTTATTGATTGTCCACGCTTCACACCCGTTTAATAGGATTGGCACGATGTAACTTTTCAATACTACCGGTACCTCTACTAAAACAAAACAAAACCCCCCAAACCAATCAGCTCCTTCCACTTTCAGTTCACTACTACGACTACGCAGCCGACCAGTGGGATCCGACAGTGTTCCGAATCCCGCGCATGGCTTCCGAGTACGGCATCCAGGCCTGGTGCAACAACGAGAGTCTGTCCGGCGTGTTTGCTCCAGGCGACTTCGCCATGGACGCTCCAATGGTCAGTCACAGGCAGCACCATGGCCACGGTGAGGAGAGACTGCGTATTATATTATATAGGGCAGAAGATATTCGGAGACGTTGGTGGTTGGCGGGTGCTCTGGTGTGGTTTGTTCCTTCTTTCCTATCCTATCAAACTTATATCTATTGTCTTTTTCTCCCCTCCTCATTCTTTTTTGTGTTTGTTACTCTCTTGTAACACCTCTAATCTTTGGCACATATTTTTAAAATATGACCTTAAAGTGTTGCAAGAGGGGTAAAACTCTTACTAAAATAAACAGGAGACGTCTCCGCCGAAGACCCAGGAACTATTCGGAGACACACCCCCGCACACAGATGAACTGCTTTAGAGGGTCGAACTGCGTATTGTTTGCTGCAGATCACATATATAGGCACTAAAATTGTCGCAAATCAATTATGATCAAGAAAATTTCAGACCTAACTGCAAAATATCAAGTTATGAGTTAAAGCAGAGGCACAAAGGATTTTGATTGGTCTGTCTCTGTTGGAGACGTCTCTGGATAGATACAGTGGGCCTACCTTTAGAATTACAAAATTCTATCGGACATTTTGGCTCGTTTTGAGTTATTACTACACCATGAGGTCGTAAAATATTTATTTTCTATCTGCTTCTTCAAAATCGAAAGATTATTCGGAGTTGTAATTAAGATATTAAAAGAATTGCATTTGAAAAAGCTTGACATGTTACTAAAATATTTTGACGTCAAATTTCTCAAAACTAGCTATACCTCTCTCTCTCTCTCTCTCTCTCTCTCTCTCTCTCTCTCTTGCCATTTTTTAACTCTCAGAGGAGCATAGGCCATCAACAACATTTCTCCAGCAAAGCCTGTTCTGTGCATCCTTTTTTAGCTGTTTCCATGATGTCCCTACTAGATACCAACTTGGCAGATAGACCTTTACAATTCTGAGGTTGCGCAGTCAAAGATCTTGTCGGTTATTTCGTGTTTGAGCGCTAGATCAGCAGCTCGTTGCAGTGTATGCTTCCTGTTGAAGCCGAGAATGTTGCTGAATATTCTAGAAGGGTCTGCTAAGGTAATAATGCTAGAGCCTTCTCATGCATATTATGCTCATGTCACTGTCTTCACTGTTGTTGCTGAAAAAAAAGAAGTTTATTTTTAGTTTATCTTCATTTTACGTCAGGCTCAAGGGAAAGAAACGAATTTTAATATTGATTATCTCAAATCTCACACCAATTAATAAGGACAAAGGGAGCTTTTTATGGTTGGATTCCAACAATTTCCATTTTTACTTATTAAAAAAAAAATCAATACACCTTCATTGTCAAATTCGGGAAAAATTGTAAATTATATCAACTGTTATATTCCCAAAAAGCTTAATTTTTTAATTTTTTTTAGATGGAGCAGTGTTTATTTACCGAATCATGTAAGCCCACAGAACAGCCATTTTCCGTGGGTGGTTGGCGGGTGCTTTGGTGTGGTTTGCTTCTTCTTTCCTATCAAAAATCTATCGTCCCTATCTCCCCTTCTTCTTTTTTATGTTTGTTACTCTCTTTTAACGCCTCTAATCTTCTGACGCTCATATGACCTTATGCAGTTGCGAGCGCCGAAAAAAACTCTACTGAAACTAAACTAAACTAAAACATCTATCGTCCTTATCTCTCTTCTTTAAATCTTTCCAAAAAAATTGTTGTTGTATGTCTTTTTCTTGTAACACCTCTAATCGTTGGCACTTATATATGACCTAATTGCAATGCAAGTGCCGTAAAACGCTTAGGCAGGCCTCCTAAAGCTAAAAGATTAAATCTGTTGACCTTCTAGGGTAATGTTTCTCCCTTCCCCCTACTCTAGGCAACATTGAGATGGCAGCTGAAGTAGGGATGCACATGGACATGTCCAGCTCCAAAGACCCTGCCGTCAAATTTGCCGACTTCACCTATCTCACGCAGGTAATTTAGGTATTGTGTAAAAATACCACACAGGTAATCTTAGTGTCGTGTCGAATTTGCCGACTTCACCTATCTCACTCAGGTAGTCTAGGTTTTGTGTCACATTTGCCCCGACTTCACCTATCTCACGCAGGTATTCTGAGCATTGTGTAAAAATTTCACACAGGTTATCTTAGTGTTGTGTCAAATTTGCCGACTTCACCTATCTCAGACAGGTAATCTAGGTATTGTGTCACATTTGCCAACTTCACCTATCTCACGCAGGTATTCTGAGCATTGCGTAAAAATATCACACAGGTAATCTTGGTGTCGTGTCAAATGTGCCGACTTCACCTTTCTCACACAGGTAATCTAGGTATTGTCGTGTCAAATGTGCCGACTTCACCTATCTCACGCAGGTATTCTGAGCATTGCGTAAAAATATCACACAGGTAATCTTAGTGTCGTGTCAAATGTGCCGACTTCACCTATCTCACGCAGGTATTCTGAGCATTGCGTAAAAATATCACACAGGTAATCTTAGTGTCGTGTCAAATGTGCCGACTTCATCTATCTCACGCAGGTATTCTGAGCATTGCGTAAAAATTTCACACAGGTAATCTTAGTGTTGTGTCAAATTTGCCGACTTCACCTATCTCACACAGGAAATCTAGGTATTGTCGTGTCAAATTTACTGACTTCAACTATCTCACACATATAATTTAGGTATTGTCGTGTCAAATTTGCTGACTTCACCTATCTCACACAGGTAATCTAGGTATTGTTGTGTCAAATTTGCTGACTTCACCTATCTCACACAGGTCATCTAAGTATTGCATCAAATTTGCTGACTCCCTCTATCACCTATCTCACACAGGTATTTTTTTTTTGGTAAGTGTTTTACTGCGAGCGCAACTGCATAAGGTCACATGAGTGCGCGCGACACCTTGAATAATTTTTGCTAAGAATTAATTTATTTTGAATTTTGCCCGGGTGGCGTCCGAACTTGCACATGAGACCTCGGAGATTTTTCACCCTTATCTGAGAAGGCTAGGTGTTAGATCTTACCTACCATACGATCAGGGGTGTGGCTGAAAGCCAGCAGTAAGAAGGAGCCAAGGAGTAGCAGAAGAAAGGCTGCAGAAAGGATCAGGAGCCCTGATCGAGGGGGCAAAGGAGGTGGGAGAGGGAAGGGCTGGGGGCAGAAAGTGAAGACGAAAGCAAACGACAAAACATTGATAGAGAGCAAGAAAGGAGATGAAGCAGGTTATACTCCAGTTATTGCGTCACCATTGCTGACTTCACCTATCTCACACAGGTAATTTAGGTCAGCTGCCCTCCCGTATTTCATTCCATACATTTCATTATATATATAATAAAAGTGAATTATTGAAATTATTTGAAAATCCATATATATGCCCAAAAGTTGACGAGCAACTGATTCCACTGCGTCACAACACATAATAATATAATTATGTATTTATGTATATATGCTTTTATAGTATGTATTTATGTTTGTATGTATTCATAATTATATATTATATTTATGTATATATATAATATACATTTAAATTTGCCATTGTAACCCAAATTTCCTCACATGGATCAATAAATTGTGATTTATATATATTTGTGATGAATTAATTAACTTTACCCTATCCGTACGCCCTGGGGTCATTTTGTACCCACGGGGTTGTATTCTTCATATTTTAGAATACTTCTAGTGTGAGTTTCTCTTTGAAACTTTCAGTATTTCTCAAAAAATCATTTTGACAGACTGCTTTGCAAAGCGTACGGACCGGATTAACAAGTAAGTTTCCTCTTTGGAAAGTGGTGGCAGAGAGTTCACCACGTCGTAATTATAATATCACGTCGTAATAATAATACCACGTCGTTATAATATTGCAATCTCACGCCCCCTCAGATCAACCAGGCCATGTCCATGCGCACACAGACGGAGCACTACCGGCGCTTCCAGTCGCGTCTGCTCTACGACGGCCGCGGACTCACCATGGGCGCCCTCTACTGGCAGCTGAACGACATCTGGCAGGCGCCCACGTGGGCCTCCATTGGTGGGTAGTTCCTGCTTTCTTCTGGGTCAGCTTATGGTTGGGTGAAAGATGAGATAAGAGAAGATAAGAAAAGGTAAGATAAGATGAGAAAAAATAGGATAAGATAAGTGTAATGGTCTGGATGGTCAATATCCATGTGTGGATACTTTAATCTCTTCTATGTCAACTTATGGTTAAATGAAAGATAGGAAAAGATAAGATAAGATAAGATAACATAATTGTAAAGCTGTGGATGGTCGATATTAAACAGGATGGACCATATAATACAAAACACAGAACAAACAACGCGCCACGTTGATTAGCCGCCGCACGCGCAGTGCAGTTCCCTTTAAAATGAAGAGCTCTCCTCAAGCATGAACTGTAGAGTAGTTTCCCTTGTGGGGCACACAACAAAGTTACACCAAGACTTTATGGTCCAAAATAGAACACTGTCACAATAACATAAGATAAGATAATACTTTATTATCCCAGAAGGAATTTTTTCTTGGCTGTACAGGACCGTATAAAACATGCAGGCATACATACAAATTTGAATTACATATTACTCTCATTAAAATTTAGTATGAAAAGAAAAGTAAAGCTGACAAAATGTTCATATCAAAGACCAAAGACTTCTTGACCCCCCTCCTCCCCCCCCCTCGTAACTTATCATGATCATTATCACAATCTCATTACATTCTCATTTTCATCATCCCTATCCCACAGACTACGAGGGACGCTGGAAAATGTTACATTACTACGCCCGGCACTTCTTCCAACCCACGCTGGTGTCTCCCTACCTGCGCACCACAGCGAGCCTGGATGTCTACATGGTCGTGGATCAAATCCCCACTGTGGAACGACGGGACGAAAATAAAGGTGCTGATTGGTCGCTTTTTAATTAACTCTATCCGTATACCCTGGGGTCATTTGGAACCAACGTCTGTGTTTTTCCCTTTGGCTGTTCTGTGCCTATCTTTTTTTGCATTTAAAGAGAACAAGATAAGCGATGTGACAGATTCAGACAAATCTCTATTGCAATTTAGCCTATCCGTACGCCCTGGGGTCATTTTGTACCCCTGGGGTTGTATTCTTCTCATTTTAGAAATCTTCTAGTACGTAGATCTCTTTGAAACTTTTAGTATTTCTTTAAAACATCATTTTGACAGACTGCTATGCAAAGCGTACGGATCAGATTTACGAGTGAATTTTCTCTTTGGAAAGTGGTGGCACAGAGTTCCCCACGTCGTATGGATACGATGTTAAAACACGACGTATGGATAGGGTTCAGCGAGGCTAACTCAGATTTGGGGGGGGGGGGGGTCCAGAAAAAATGACCTACATCAAAAGTGGGCTTTGCCCTACCTATAGGAGAAGTTTGGTGTCATTGGTGTGTATATTTGTTTGGTTATAGTAGAGAAAACTCTCTTTGTCTTTTAAAGAAACTGTAGAAAGGGCAAAAACTTTACCTTCGATTTTCTCAAAATACTTTCTGGGCCTTCGACATATTGTGGTAGGGTGGCCAGTTCCTTTCCACGACGCCTTTACTTCCTCAACTTGAAGTCAGGACGTACCCATTACTGCTGGGTGGGCTGGAGGGGGCGAAAAAAATCCGTGTCAGAACCGAGGCTTGAACCTGGACTTTCCGTTTTGGAGACGAGAGAGCGCACTAACCGCTCCGCCTCCGGACCTTCAATAGTGTTGATAGGGGCGTTAAACCAATGCCATTACCCTGTCCTCGCGGTTTTATACAAAACTAATTCTGAAATAATGCAAACAGAGCCCAAAAAATGTGAAATTATGCGATTCCGTTAATTTTTATCTAAGAATGATAAAGGAAAATATTCAAAAATTATGCCCCCCAAAAATTGATCAAATTTAGCTAAATTATGCGATGTGCATAAAACCACGGGTCATATTACCATTTCTCTCTCAAGGTGAGCTGAGGTTTGAACCCATGACGGACGTGGAGGACCTCCGGAGGAGCAGTATACCCCCACAAGACGTCGCCAGCACCCAGGCAGCTGTGGACAGAGCAACGACCGGTCGTCTGACCCTCACCATGTACACCTACGCCAGTTTCTCTCCCCTCAAGTCCTGGACTGTTGACTACTCCGTACGTGTCTTTACTCCGTCTCACGTCTTGTCTTCTGATGTAATTTGAGAAAAAGGGTTGCGGTGTTATGAATATAATAATATATATATATATATATATATATGTATATATATTCTATTAATAAATATTTTTTGTTAACGTTTTACGGCGCTCGCAACTGCAAAAGGTCATATGAGCAGGCAGGACACTTTAAACATTTTCAGTTGGTAGACAATTTTGAATTTAGCACATGTGGTGGCCGAAGCCTACTCTTGTCGATTTTAGACCACCAAGGGATTTTTAAAGTGCGCAACTTGCACACGGGACCTCTGAGATTTTTCGACCTTGTCCGAGAAGGCTAGGTGTAGATGTTTCCTACAATATGATCAGGGGTGTGGCTGAAAGACTGCCGTAAGAAGGAGCCAAGGAGTAGCAGTAGAAAGAGTTGCGGGAGCCCAGAGAAGGGGGCGAAGGAGGTGAGGGGGGTAGGGGAAGAAAATGGAGACGAAAGCAGACGACAGAATATTGCTAGAGAGCCGGAAAGGAAGTGAAAGGAGACAATTTTAGAGAAGAAAATGTTTCCGTCGGTTCCCCGATTCGAACCCAGGACCTTTGAATGAGAGGCGAACGCCTTAACGTCTTGGCCACGAGAGCCCCCCCCCCCCCCCCCCCAAGAATTGTGTTGTTGTGAAGAAGACCTTCGGTTGGTTGGCGGGTGCTTTAGTGTCAGAGGTAAAAAAAATAAAACAGCAAGAAAATGGCCGCTAAAGTTTGGTGACTTCCAAAGTTGAGTGTCTTTGAAAACTGAAAAAGTACCATTTTTGTCTCTTTGATCAGTGTTTCTTGGTAACATGGTTTATAAATGGACGTAAAGGGTATTGAGCCACAAAAAAAAAATTGATAAAATTGAAAATTGCCAAACTGGAGGGAAAAATGCCGGTTTCTTCGATTTCATTATTTTGACGAACACTTTATTTCACCACGATGTCTCACACATTTAATTAATTTGACGATCGAGCGCCTGATTTCACCACAATGAATCACATTTCATTATTTTGACGAGTGCCTGATTTCACCACGATGCCCCACATTTTCTTTCCCAGATGAACACCACGGCAGAATCAGTGTACACGGCTAGCGTGAGTCAGCTGTTGAGTGAGGCTAATTGTATGTCCAGGGAGAACTGCTTCCTTCATTTCTCCACCACAGACAAAAGTAACGCCGTCACCTCCACCTCCTGGCTCTTTCTCTCCTACCCCAAGGACGCACACTTGGCCCCGGCTCATATAAAGGTGAGTGCGAGCTTTTAGTTCAGTGGCTTTTGGTTTTTTAAAGTTTTTTTTTTGGTAAGTGTTTTACGAATCTCGCAACTGTATAAGGTCATATGAGTGCCAGAAGATTAGAGGTGTTACAAGAGAGTAACAAACAATTTTTAAAAAAGAAGAAGGGGAGATAAAGACAATAGATGTTTGAAAGGAACTAAGAAGCAAACCACTCCAGAGCACCCGCCAACAACCCACAGGTCAGGTTGGCCTGTTTCTAAAGGTAAAATTTGCCAAAGTTTGGTAACTTCCCTTGCCTGAGAGTCCTTGGAAACTGACAATTTAAATTTTTTGTGTGCCTTAAATAAATGTTTTAAAGTAAAATCGACAAAAAAAAAACGTGTTTTGAAATGGATATATAGAAGATGACGAGAAAAAAAAATTGAAAAAAAAAGGGACAAAAATCAGGTTACTTTGATTTCAGTACATGTATTTTTATGAGCACCTGATTTCATCACAATTCCTGACATTTTACATTATTTACCGCAACAACAACAAATGTGAGGCAGCGTGGTGGAATCAGGCTCTCGTCAAAATAATCAAAGTGAAGGAACTTGCATTTATCCTCAGGTTTGTGAATTTTTATCAAATTTTTGTTTTTTGGCCCAACACTTTTCAGACCCATTGAAGAAGTCATTTGTATGTTGGTTTTTCTGAAAAACGTTGATTAAAGGTGCAAAAAATGTAAATTTTTAGTTACCACGGACTCTTTAGCTAAGGAAATAACTAATCTTAGGCGGCCATTTTCTCACTAATTTTACCTCTGAAAGTAGGTGACCCCCACCACTTTCTTTCGCAAATATCTCGACTTGTATTCAAGATAAATGGATATTTTTTTCATCCGTATAAAGACAATTAAACAAGCTTTAAGATGATACCAATAACTGTACATGCCCAAAAATTGACGAGAGCCTGATTCCACCACGTCGTGACAGAAATGTATCCCATCTCTCTCTACACTACAGGTGTCCGCTGTCAGGACTATCTCCCCGCGGGTTTTTGAAGTGGACTTTTCCTCTGATGCCGTGGCTCTGTTCGTCTGGCTGTCGGTCGGCGACATCCCTGGATGGTTCTCAGATAACGGCTTCCTCCTGCACACCCCGACCACGACGGTCCAGTTCTATGCAGACACTGACGTGACCGCTGCCAAACTGCAGGCGACACTCAGAGTGAAAAGTTTGTCCGATATCTAGATCTAGATCTAGATCTAATTTATGATTGGAAGATGAATTAATACTTTGCAATTATGAATCTGGTTGGGTGATACTTTTAAAGCTTTTTTTTTTGTTCGTGTGTTCGCGTGTGTGTGGGTATTATTTTTTTAAAAGAGAATTTGTTGTTGTATTTTATTTATTTATTTATTTATGTATTTATTTATTTATTTATTTATTTTTATTGCTTTTTTGTTAGGAATGCTGAGTTTGAAAACTTGGTGCTTACCAAATATACGTCAAGTAAACTACGTCAACGAGTAATTTATTCCACTACCTTGCCCCTGGGCGCGTTATGTTTCCCCACAAAAGACGCGACAGCTAGGGGACTACCCGCTGAAGTCTGAACATCGTTTCGCCGCAAATCGTATTTGAGTACAAGTTAATTTCACAAAAGATAATATTATTTTTTTTATAATAGAAGATTGACTACTTTGTGAACGCCTCTGAAGTTGGGCTAAAAAAGTCACACAAAGACAAACAGTCAGATATCAGCCTTTAATGGTTTAAATTAGAGACGGGTTTGGAATGCGCTTTCTTTCCCCCAAAATGAAATAGAAGATTATTAGGCCGCTTTTAAGCACAAGGGGACTATCCCGAAAAATTCTGTTTTGAGAAAATCGAAGGTAACGTTTTTGCTGTTTTTCAATTTCTTTAGAAGACAAGGAGAGTTTTCTCTATGAACAAACAAATACACACACCCGTGAATCCAAACCTCTCCACTTTTGCCCACTTTTGGTGCAGGTCAAGATTTTTGGAAACTCCTGAAGTCTGGGTCTGCCCGCTTGTCCTTAAAATTAAAAGCGATAATTTTGCCTTCCACACAATGGCAAATGTGTCGAAAGACGAAAAAGTTCAAGATTTTTTGGACGACATTTTTGAAGTATACAGTGGATAATTGGCAACATTTTCACAAAAGCGTTGGGAGTCTCAAGAAATCTGAGCAAGAACTACAAACGATGGTTTACATTTTCATAGTTCCTTTTGCCAACATTTCCACTCTCCGACCCCAAACATTATTCTGGTTCCAAACAAAACTCAACAACCACCCGCAACTAACAAAGTGAAAACTGAACGCAGTAAATATTGCCAACAAACAGCCCCTGTCTATCAGGCCAGCGGAACTTATGAAGAGAAAGAGATGGACCGAAACGATTGAGAGATACAATAGAGAGCAAATCAACATCGAGAAATACGTCAAGTGCATGATCGAGCTTCAAGCTTTTTCTTTTTTTTTTTTTTAGCAACTTTGGATTTTTACAACAATTCTGTACCTGAGACATCACACATTTATCTTCACTGACACGCCATTATAATTTATATAATCCCACCCTGCCCAAAGTCTTATATACGTCCACGTCCCAGTTGATGAGCAGGGGCAAACTCATAACGTACTAAATTAAATCTACATGTAGTTGTAATCGAATTCAATCTGCGACGAAACGACCATTCTTATTTTCCACGGGTACACGCTGTAACTTAATTGCGGTGAAACATCAACCTCCCAACCCCCCC